GCGGGTATCTGGCCACCTTGCTGTGTGGCTTTGGGCAACTTGGCTCCCCTCTGTCGCTTCCAGGCTGTAGGGGGACAGGCTTGGTGGCTTCTGAAACCCCTTCTCTGACCTGCTGGCAAGTGACACTCAGGACCTGAGATAGATCCTGGACAGAGGCCGCCGAAGGCCCCCGTGCCTCCCTTCTAGGAGGTAGGTGTCCACACAGCTGAGGCAGATAGGGGAGGCTAAGGGCTCCCCTTGGTTTGACCCCTGGCAGGGAGGTCGAGGGGTGTTTGGGGCTGACAGTGCTAACTTGTTGGGGAAGAGACAGCCCTGTAGCTCTGGTCTGCCCTGACTCCACACCCCGGGGGGCCAAGGGAGGGACACAGGCGCCTGGACTCTGTGCGGCCTGAGATTCCTGAGGGTTCCGGGCCCTGCCCCCTCCAGGGCAGGGGTGGCAGGGGCCAGGGAGGGGAAGGGGCTGGCGGAGCGGGTGGCATCCATGGGCCCCTCCAGCAGCCCCGTGTGGCTGGCAGGGAGATCACTGTCCCAGGTGGGCAGCTAGCACTGAGCAGGTGAAAATCCCCAGGGGCTCTTGTTCAGGCCAGTTCCCCCAGTGGAGATGGCGGCCTGAGTTCTGGGGCTTGGCCCCCTCGTCCAACGGGTGCGGCCTGGGCCTGCAGCCTCCTCAGCTGTCCCTGCTTTTCTCCGCAGGCCCTCTCTAGGGAGCTCAGGTGGTCAGAGGCAAAGCACACATCCCTGTGCACCCTTAGGTGGGAGGTGGGGCAGGCTTTGCAAGCTCACCGCTACCTTGGTTCTCGTGCCTGTGGCAGGCATCGTTAATCACCCACCCGCCTTCCCCAACGGGGCCACCAGGCAGCCACTACCAATCAATCCCAGAGAGCCTCTGGGCCTCGGTGCTGGGCGGGCCCCCAGGGCTCTCCCCTTAAGTGGACCCTCCTCAGCTGTCAGAGGAGCTGGGTCTGGCCTGGCAGTGACTGTGGCCTTGCTTCCTAGGATGGGTGGCAGACGGCAGCCTTCACGCTGGGTCTGGTCCCTGCTGGCTGTGGCACTTCTGGCTGGGCGTGTGGCATCTACTGGGGCCACGGTGAGTGGGGAGCAGGGTCCCTCACCCAGATGGCCTGAGGTGGGAGGGGCTGCGCGGCAGGTGTAGGGCACGTGTCCAGCGAGCCCTGCGTGCACTCCCAGATCCCCACACAGCCCCGGAATACGTCTTACAAGCTGGTCAGACCAGTCCCTACGGGGACTCTGGCTGATTTGGGCAGGATGGGGTTGGAGGGGGCTGAGTGCTTCCTTCCGAGCAAAGTCCTGGAAGGAGGCGTGTAGACAGGGCGGGCTTGTGTCCCACAGAACCCAAGCCGGGGCCCAGGCTGCTCGGGAGAAGATAAACAAGGACGGTGTGGCCTCAGGCTCCCGCCAAGCCCCCAAGATGTTCCAGATCCCGAGATTGGGAGCGCTTAAGGCCCACGACTTCCGGGGAGTTCCCTCCAAGACCGCCTGGACACCTGGGCGGGGGTGCCGAGGGACCCAGCCGGGCTGTGTGCTGCTGACCACAGCAAGGGACGGCGGGCCAGTCCCGTTCCAGCGTCTTCTAACCTTCCATGGGGACTCTCGCCCAGGACCACAGCCCGACGTCCAACAGCCTGGAGGGGGGCTCGGACGCCACCGCCTACTGGTGGGGAGAGTGGACCAAGTGGACGGCATGCTCCCGCAGCTGTGGGGCCGGCGTGACGTCCCAGGAGCGGCACTGTCTGCAGCAGAGGTGTGGGACTAGCACGGGGGTGGGCAGCGGGTGACAGGTGGGTGGGGGCTCAGGCCGGGAGGGGTCTTCAGGTGGAGGCGGCACAGGCCAGGTGAGTGAGCCTTTTTGCTGGCCTGTCGGGGCCGAGGCTCCCGACGGGTCCTGGGCGACCGTGTCCTGGGGTTCACCCTGCCCCGGGGCTCTGGGGACAGACAGCCCTTTCGTGAGAAGGCATGGTCTGTTTCTTGGGATTTTTTTCAACGAGGGGCGAAGTCTTTCCTGGTCCTTCTTTTCTGAAGACCCGAGTCGAATTCACACGGGAAAAAACATAGGATATAGTGGTTACCATCGGGCGGGCCTGGGTTCAAATCTTTGCTTCTGCTACGTCCTTGCTGTGTGAACTTGGGCAAGTCGCTTCATCTCTCTGAACATCAGTTTCCTCACGTATGGAGTGGTACGGAGTAAACGTTCTTGGTATTATTATCAGTTCTGTGTACAACCCTGGGCTCTATGCCGGGGGTGCAGAGGTGAATTGGGTATCTTCCCTCCCCTGGGCTGCGGTGGAGTCGTGGGGGGCCAGAGGAATTGGGGGGGGGGCTTCCGGGGCCCAGCCCAGAGGCCGTCTGGAGCAGGGGCACGGTCGGTGCCCGCAGCCCGCGGCCCCCAGCTCAGAGCCCGGGTCTTCCCTCCAGGAGGACGTCGGTCACGGGCGCGGGGAACAGGACCTGCACGGGCACGTCCAAGAGGTACCAACTGTGCAGACTGCAGGTGAGGCCCCGCCTGGGCGGGACCGCAGCCCTACCCCCAAGCTCCTTAGGCCGGTCTCAGGTGGCCCCCCAGACCCTCCAGGCACTCTGCGCCGGGTCTGCCCTTACTTCCGGTTGAAGAGAAGGAGGGTTGAGGGGTCCTGGGCTCAGAGCCCCCTTTACGCCTCGGATCACATCTGTGCTGTGCATGCGCAGGGGTGAGGACTGGCTTCTGCTGGGGGCGGGGGCTCATGTGCGGCCTCTAACGTGCAGATCTCAGGCTGCTCACAAGTCCTGTACCAGGTGCTTGCTGGGAGACCGACAGTCACCAGGTGTCCCGTCCCCAGCCGTGAGAAGTCTCACTGCAGCTCCCCAGGGGGCACAGGAGATGCTGACTCTGCCTCAGCCTCTGGGTGCCCTTCAATGGGGCCAAACCAGTCTGGACCTGAACTCCCCTCCCCCCCCCGCCACCACCCAGAACAGGTGTGGGGTAGAAAGACAGCAAGCCATAGGGGTCTTTGCGTCCCCGTGAGCGTCTCTGGGTATGTGCACGCTCGAGGAGTTAGGGCCTGAAGGGAGGCGGGC